ATTTTAGTATTTTTTTAATGAAGATTTATTGAAACAACATAATTTTAGAATAATTTTCATTTTAATCTTTGGAAGTAAGGCGAATAGACACTATTCTCAACTAATAATGGGTGAAATATTTTGAGAAGATATTTTATGTCATTAATGTAATCAAACACACACAATTTGAAATTAAGGAATAAGTAGACTATTAGGAAACAAAAATAAAAAATGGTTCTCTTGACTTGTAACAAAACAATCAAAGAAGGGAAAAAAATAAGGGAAAAATATTTATTTGTTTTATCTCTTAAAAATTAAGAGAAAATTTTTAATAAAATAATATCTATTCAATAAACTCATATTGAAAAATATTAAATTATTCATTTTTAAAGTATATATAAACTATTTTTTTGGTTTTTTGTTTTGTGTGAAAATTTATCAAACTAACATAATTTTAAATAACTTTTCTCTTAAATTTTAAATAACTTTTCTCTTAAATTTTAAGAGGCTGCACGCATGTTAGGAAGTGGCAAGTGCCTACTTGTCACTTCAACTCAACCATTGGGTTTTAAATCTAATAGCTGTTAATCCTTTTTTTATTTTGAAATTTTATTAATTTAAATCTTTTATTTAATTATATAAAATATCATTAGAATAACATAATAATTATGAGATTTTTGAGAAAACTTTGTTTTAAAAATATGCATTTAATGGTTGGTATCTTGTTAGATATTTCATTTAAAGGTTAAATATATAAAAAAATAATTTATATAAAATAATATTAATTGTGTTGATATAATATCAATATGAGTTTTTTTTTATAATATTCTCCATTATACATACTCTTGCAATCAAATTTCAATTTACTCACAAGACATCAAATTTTCAAGAAAAGAATGAAGGAAAAACTTTTTCTGAATTGACCAAAAAGATTAGGAGTCTTTAATCTTTACAACCTAAAAGAAGCTATACCTCCTTAAAAAACAGAAAAAAACGCTTTTACCTCTTTCTTATTTATTTATGGTTAAATGCTTAATTTGGTCCCTCAACTTTAAAAAATGAACATTTTTGGTCTCTTAACAATTTTTTTGCACTTTTTTGATCCCTCAACTAAACGAAATGCACTCCGTTAGTCCTTCTGTTAATTTGGGCCGTTAACTTTGCTTAGGTGGCATTTTTTATATTTTTTTTGATGATGTGGAGAGCAAAACTTCAAAAAGTGATGACATGGATAAAACTTTTGCCATGTCACATGCTACTTGGCGAAAACACATCAAATCCATCCAAATGGGTCTCACATCACCACTAACAATTGCTTCTTTGCCCATCGGAAGTTCGACGGAACCTAGCAAATCTGGGTTCGATGTAATCCAGCAAATAGGTTCCATCGAACCCAGCTCAATTCACTGAACTCAATTGTTCAAAAATCACTCGCAACAACCTGCAATTTGAATAATCTCTTGGTAAATAATCATATAAACACAAAAAAAGAAAAAAGTGGAGCTGGGTTCTGGGTTCCATCGAACCCAGATCTGGGCACTGGGTTCGCTAGAACCCAGATCTGGGTTCCAGCGAACCCAGATTTGGGTTGAACCCAACTCTAGGTTCCAGCGAACCCAGTACTGGGTTCGATGGAACCCAGCAGAGGGTTCAATAACCCGAGGAAGAAGAGGAAAAAGAAAGAAGAGGAAGAAAAAAAAGAAAAAGAGAAAGGAAGAAGATGAACAAATTATTTTATTTTATTTTTTAAAAATATAAATAGGAATAATGTGAGTTGGCATAAAAAAAATTCCATGTCTAACATGTTTTCAATTTGTTTTGGCCACGTCATCAAAAAAATTATAAAAAATGACACATAAGCGAGTTAACGATCGAAATTAACAGAAAGACTAATGGAGTGCATTTCATATAGTTGAGGGATCAAAAAAGTGCAAAAAATTGTTAAGAGACCAAAAATGTGCAACTCAAACCAAATTTAGCATTTAACCTTTATTTATTTATTTTTTTCGTCAATTTGCCTCTTTAATTGAAACGCGCCAAACAGCTCCCTAAGGGGATCCAGCCTGGCAACTGGCAAATGAACACGTGCTGCAAGATTGTGTGTTCATGTCCCATGGTATGGCATAAAGGGTTAAAACGCCCTGGACATCCCTGTACAATCAAATTTTATTCATTGACATTCCTATACTACAAAAATGTTTTTTGGGGCCCTTGAACTTTAGATTTCAATTGGCTAGGTGCCATCTACGACCTTAAATTGTTCATTGAGGTCCTTAAATAACATTGCTAATGACATGTCATGAATGACCTCTAATTTTAGCATTAGCTTTAGAAAGTTTAAATTTAGTAAAAATTTCTTAAAAAAAAAAAATCAAAACTTGTAGGACCTACATCTCAATAAATATTAAATACTCACCAAAACCCCCACCCCTCTTTTACTTGGAGAAATCACATAAAAGGAGCGTGACTTCTCCAAGGGGGTTTCTTCTCCTTTACATTGACTTATCCTCTAGTTTGCACCCCAATTCACCTTTGTTACATCAAACTAAACATCATTAACTCAAGATCCTAATGGAAATCATCAATGGAGAAAAGATATTTTCTCTTAAGTTGGATTAATTTGGGTTGCTTGGGTCTACAAGTATTTATTGAAGGGAAGAAGCTTTTGGATTGTTAAAATACCTACGGATGCCTTTTGGGGATGGAGGAAAATTCTTAAGATGAGGCAACAAGTAAGAAGATTTATTCAACACATTCTTGGGGATAGTGCTAACATCTATATTTGGCATGACAATTGGCATCCTTCTAGGCCTTTGATAGATGCCAATGGTGAGAAAATGGTTCAAGTTGTAGGAATTCCATACCAGGCTAAGTAGTATAAGGAAGCTTTTGCAATCAGATTCTTACTAGTTTTCCTCAACTATTACAAATTCAAATTGAGCTTTTTGATAGGTTGTATTCCAAAGAAGGTGATAAAGTTTGTCATTTGGCTATCTTTTGCAACTAGCTCTTTTAAAGTAGGAAATACTTGGCATTGGTTGAGATGCAAGCATAGGTGAGTAGCGTGGCATAAATTGGTTTGCTTTCCTAATTCAATTCCCAAGCTTGGTTTTATAAGTTGGTTAGCTATTTTTGACAGACTTACAACTAAACCTTGACAAAAAGAAAGGACATTGAGTTTAGATGAGAATTATGTCCTTTGCAATAAGGAACTTGAGACAAGTGAGCACCTCTTTTTCAAATGTTGTTATACAAGTAGAATCTGGCAAGATATCAACAATAAAGCAAGGATACCATTTATGGATTCATGGCAAGGGTTATTGAGATGGTTGAGAAAGAAGTTGAAAAAGAAATCATTGCATGACAATTTGATAAAAATGGCTTGGAATGCTATTGTTTACCACATTTGGACGGAAAGGAACAAGAGGATTCATTGGCAACTTTTTAAGTTTGAGATGATTGTGGATGAAGATATAGGAGCTAATGTAAGAGATAAGATCCTAGGGTTCTTTAGACTAGACTCTTCCTCTTTATCATTGGTTGTTTCTTCACAATGGGGACTTGAGAGAATTGTTAAACATTGACAATTTGAGTTTTTATTCTTTGTAGCAATTTATCGCTTAATTGTATAGGTTTTTTTAAATAAATAATTTTTTTTTTTTTGCATTTTATCAAAAAAAGAAAAAAAGAAAAAGAAAAAGAAAAGATGGCTTCAAGTGAAGAAACCCTAGTTACTATCCACTCCTTTTTCTCGTCTTCTTTCATCCTTTTGATTTGTTCATCATCGTGCTTTTTTTTTTTTTTCACTATCCACTCAACTTTAGAGCAACATGAGGCTAATTCAATCTATTGCCTATGGTTTAAACATAGATTAAGTGGTTGTAATGAGAACAATATTAAGGACTTAAATGATTTAAGGAGTGCCCAAAAGTGGAATAGATTGGCAAACTAGGCTTTTGATTAATTGATATTTCTACCATGTTATGAAGTGTTTTTTGGATTGCTATAGTTATTTAAAGCTTTTAGGAAAATTGTCAAGTCCTATTTTACTCTTGCATTCCTTTTTCTTTTACACATCAGTAGCATAATATCAATTTACAATATATATATATATATATTTTCAAAATATGTTAAATTGCATTTAAAATAAGCCATATAGCATCTACATTAAAGGAAGTCTTGGTCCAAAATCAAGACTTGACAATCTTTAAACAACATACTAAAAAGAAGCAAAGAGAAAATATAAAGAGTAGATCAACAATCATATTACATAGTTAGTAAAAAAAAGGGTGAAGTATCACACTTCAACTTATAATATTATAACTATATGACTTTAAATACATTTTGATTTTGATTTTATAGGTTGATCATTTTTTAATTTATGGATTGGTTGGTCTTGGGATGATCTTAAATTCAAAACCAGTTTAAACTATTACAAACTTGCTTACAATGTTTGGTCTTATCTTGTTAGTTTCCCCTTCAAAATTTCATAATAACAGTAAGACTAGCATAAGATATAAGTGGAGTTAACTCTTTGCTTTAACAAGTGAGAATTCAATAAAGCTATACAAACCACTATGGCTACTTACCATGTGAAACTTGTAGAATAGATTCTGTTTCAAACTCCACATTAAGCTACTTCACTAAATGGAAAAAAAAGGTATAGATTCTTAAAATATTCTTTCTTGTAGGATAAGAAATGAGGCAATTTCCCTTTACAAATAATGGAAGGGGAAGGAAGGGGAGGGGAGAGAAGGAATGAAAGAATATTGTCTCTCCTCCTCTCCCCTTCGTTTCTTTCAAGCCAAACAGGTACATAAGACACCTAGTAATTGAAGGCTAAACTTCAAGGACCCCAACCAACATTTTTGTAGTAAAAGGATGGTAATAAACAAAAGTTAATAATATAGGGACGTTTATTCAGCTTTAATCTGAAGTACAAACTCTGTTTTTAGATCAACGGTCCAGATCTTATCCGTGCACCAATTGTTTCCCCCCTGTAAAAATCTCCCCTGCATCTGCGAGAGCGGGAGCAGAGAATTGAGACTCTCTCCTCTCCTCAATACCTCTAAAAAAAAAAAAAATCCATAATCTGGGAAACTTTTTAGTTTTGACGATCTGATCTTCTTCAGAAATGATTTTAAGAAGCGCATCGACCCCGATTCTTAGCTCATGGATCCCGCACTCCAAAGAACCGTCGCCGGAGCTGGAACTGCTGCACCAGATCTCGAGAACCCGATCTATAACGCTGATGGTATCGTGCTCGAGCTCGCTTTCAATGTCAGCGAGTGATGACTTGACGAGGAAGATGACCAGAGCACTGTCAGAGACCGATCTGAGGAACATCGCTGTGCCTAAGAGGAAGGCCATGGACAACAGTATCTTTAGCCGGATTTGTGTTGAGGAAGAGAGGGAAGAAGCGGATTTTGAATGGTGGACGACGGATTCGCTTCTCGTGGTGGAGGAGGGGTGCGGTGGTGGTGGCGGTGGCGGTAAATTGTGCGGTGGAAGAGGCAGGGGAGGATCTGACGGTGGAGATGATGATGGCGGGTCGGAGTCCTGGGACTCCAACCATGGAAATAATAGTACTGATGTGTACTATCAGACAATGATCGAGGCCAATCCAGGGAACGCACTTCTCCTTAGCAATTACGCGCGATTCTTGAAAGAGGTATATTTCAACAAAGCGATTGAGTTTCTCTTTTCCCTTGTTCATTGTTTTTTTAATCTTTTCAAGCTTTAACTTTGATAGAAATGGAAAGTGAATTTTGGTTTAATGTAAAAGGAAAAGCTCAAATTCTTCTTTTTGAACCAATTTTGTAGATAAGAGAAATCTTAAATAGCTTCTTCAACATGATTTTCTGAAGAAGTGGTTTGATCTAATGCTTTGATTTGGAATGATAATAGGTTCGTGGTGATTTATCCAAAGCTGAAGAATACTGTGGAAGGGCAATTTTGGCGAACCCAAACGATGGAGCTGTTCTGTCCATGTATGCAGATTTGATATGGCAGAGCCATAAGGATGCTTCCCGAGCTGAGTCTTACTTCGATCAAGCTGTTAAAGCTGCCCCTGCTGACAGGTATGCTTCGTTCTTAAGTCCTTCCAGTGGAATTTATGGAAATTTCTTGAACATAAATACCTGATATAAATTCTTCCAAATGGTATTTAACTGTGATGAATGTCTAATTGGTGGATGGAAAGGATGTAATTGGGACTGTTGTTTATAGAAATTGTAAAACTTGCAGCTTCAATTGAAAGAAGTGTAAAGCTTTTGTGGTTGTAATGTTATACAGTTGATTAAGGTTGTCTGCTGAATTGACTTTGTTATCTTAATTTGATGATGCAGTTTTGTGCTAGCATCCTATGCGAGGTTTCTTTGGGATGCTGAAGATGAGGTGCAAGAAGATGAAGAAGAGATGAGGAAACCATCACAATCGCAGCTTAGTTACTTAAATGGAGCTCCTCCTCCCCCGCCTTTGACAGCTGCTTCTTAAGAGTATTGCTTTTACTTTTGCATAATAGCCTAGATATAACTTTTATGACCCATGTTCATACCCCTTTTTGGTTTTATGTTTAACCTTTTCAGTGGAATTTTCCTTGTGAATTCAAAATCACAAATTTTGAAAGCTCTGCGTTTCTTTTCATTCTTGTGTACCCATGGTATGTGAAAAACAATAAGCATGGAATGAAATTTTATTTTTCAATGAATAGATCTCTTTACTTGTATGTCTCACATGTCTCATATTTCTTGAAAAAAGAATTGTACTGGGATAATGAGATTGACATTAATATCAAATCTTTCTTCTAAAATTGTTCTTCTTTTTTTTTTTTTTCTAAATAATTTCCGAATTGTTCTAGAGGAACTAGAAACAGATATTTCTCTGTTTGTCTTCTACTTTGTCATTTTTCTTTGATTTTAATTTGTTCACACATTTGCTTTATTATGTATTGACTGGTTACCCATGTTTTCTTGTTTATTTGAGTTGTACCAAGCTATCTGTGCGTGATCTCTGAATCTTGTGCTATGGTTTGTTGATGCCTTATAGTTATTTATTTATTTATTAAATTTTACGGGATATGTTCAAGCCATTTTATTGTAACGTGGCCACAGCATATTTCAAGAATGACGAAACAGTTTTTTTTTTTTTTTTTCTTAAATAATATCTAGTTTTACTGTGAATGTGAGTAAGAAGAAACCTGGTTTTGTTCCTTGATATCTTTGTACATGTTTCTGTTTTAGATCCTTCAATGTTTCTAATTACCATGATCTCGCTTCTCAATACTAATCAACCATCATCATTTCCCCGTAGTTTCTACAACTCCTTACTGGTGAATAGTCTCAATACTAGTCAACCACCGTCATTTACCCGTAGTTCCTACGACTCCTTACTGGTGAATAGTCTCAAATATATCCTTTACTACTTCTCTGTTTCAAAATAAAATTCGTTTAGTTTTTTTACATGTATTTTTTAGATAATATTTTTTTATAGTATATAAATGATAATTAAGAATTTTTTTTATATGAAATTAGTTAATAAGAAAAATGTATAAAAAAATTTAAATTATTATGTATATATTATATAAAGGTATTGTTTAAAATTAAGTGTAAAAAATTAACAACTTATATTTTAAAACAAAAGGTATAAAAATTGTGTTTTCCTATTCAAGAGGCATAGAAAGATATAGTCTAGCCTATGAAATTGTTATAGAATTCTTAATGAATTTTCTTCTCATGTTAGTTTTTTGTTGTTATTTAGGATGCGTTTGAGATTATTGTGAAGTGTTATAACTGTAGTTGTGATTGTAACTATGTTAAATTGTGTTGTATTGTAATTGCGGTTGAAAGTTATTTTGGTGTTTAATTATTTATTTCTTAAAAGTATCATGGATGAAATATAATAGATATTATTAATTATTAATTAAAATTTAAAAAATATTGTAAGATATATAATTATTAAAATAGATAATATTTACTATTTTTTTAATAATTTAAGCTTTTTAAATTTGTTATAATTATTCAAATATTATAAATTATGATATAATTAAATTATACGAAATTGGGTTTCAATGGGTAATTTTGTAATTATATGAAATATTTGATATTCTTTGTAAAAGTTATAGTTAGAAAGCTCTAAAATGAGACTTCTGGTTTTATATGTAAAATTACTGTAAATATATTGTAACTTTATATAACTTTTTAAATAAATAGTATGAAAATAAAATTATCAAATATAAATATATCTAAAAGTACTGTATAACTATATGAAAAAACTTCCAACCGCAATACAAAATGTAACCTTAATTTCACTGGAAAATGGGATTATGTATTACTACTAATATTCTTGGAGAATGAAGTTTTACCGTTCATTCCACAAGAAAATATTGCTACACTGTCTGGAATAAGAAAAAGACATAAATATCATTACTAAATTTCATGCATGCCAATTTATTACCTGTAATTTTGTCATTCCTCACCTTGACCCAATAATCCTTGTATCTGTTTTAATTGTTATGGTTTGATTTTTGTGTAAAATTTCACTTGATAATTTTATATATTAAACAAACTGCTATTGAAAATCTTTTTCTTTTTATGGTGCTTTTTGAATATATTTTTTTAAATTATCATTCTTTTTTTTACACAAAATTATCAAGTTAATTATAATATATAAAGTTGACACATTAGAATAATTAGTCTCCTTGTCCATGAATAATAGACTTTTTTCGATATAAAATTTGTTTAAAAATAATTATTATTTTT